AACCCCTAAACCCCTAAACCCGGGAATGCTTTCCTGTCTCAGTACAAAAAACGTCGCCTTCTTAGTTCCGCATAGAGATTAGAGCCTTTAACCCTAAGTCCTGTATCCTAAATCCGAAATCATGAGCCCTAAATCTCTATGCCTTAAGCCGCAAATTCAGCCTAAATTCTAAAGCTTAAGGCGCAAATCCCACACCCTAAATTCCCTACATCCTACACTTTACAAGCCCCAAATCCCAAACCCCGAATTCTAAATCCTAAATCCTAAGCCCTACTTCAAGCCGAAACCCTCAACCCTGCTTTGGATTGCCATCAGGCCGAAGCAGGCAACTTCCCCTTTTGCACCATCGACCCGAACATGGGCAAAGCCAAGGCATGATATCCCATTGGTCATCAGGGGTAGTAGGGCTTTAGGGTTTAGGGTTTAGGGGCTTGTACCCTAAGGCTCCTGGGACTATTTGGGGCTTTCTGGGGGAAGGTTTGGGCTTTGGGGGCTAAGGTTTGGGATCTCATTATGGGGGTCCAGGAGCCTTAGGGTAGGGTTTGGCATTGTGGGTTCAGGGTTGAGGGTTAGGTAGGGTTATTAGGGTCTTGGGGTTTGTTGTGTAGAGACTTGATGAAACCGCTCGCATCCAAAAGCTATTGCGTGGTTTGGGTCTTTCGGTTTAGGAATATTTGCCATAACCTACGCCGGTTGAATATTGGGAGTATTGATTACCAGGGGCTCAGGAAAGCTGTTCCAGGCCCCAGAGTTTCTGGAGTTTGGGGCTTTTGGTTTAGGTTGTTTTTAGTGATGGAAGGTTATGAGAATCATGCGAGACCCTTTATTCTAGGTGGAGGTTGGGCGTCATGTTGCATGATGGGCCATACTAAGCTGCCGGCCCACAAATGCCACAAGCATCCATTGCGTCGAATGCTCCCAAATGTATTTATTTTTGGTGTATCACTGCTAGGGGAACCCCTAGATGTCAAACTCCGAACCCTAAACCCTAAACTTTAAACCCTAAATCCCAAACTCTGAACCCTAAACCCTAAACTTTACACCCTAAATCCCAATTTATGAGCCCTAAACCCCTAAACCCTAGGCCGCAACCAGAGGATGCGTTGCTGCAAATGTTGACTGCCACAGCTGTTTGGGCTTTCCGTCCGGCCGCTCCTCCCCTTTGCCCTCCCCCAGACCTCAGCCGCGGCCTGAGCAGTTGAAACATTCCTGGGGGTTTCCCAAAATTAGAGTCTAGGGATCAGGGATTAGGGATGTGGGTGTAGGGATTAGGGTTTAGGGTTTAGGGATCAGGGTTTGGGGATTAGGGGTTAGGGATTGGGGTGTAGGGTTTAGGGTTTAGGGTTTCCCAAAATTAGGGGTACCGTTTCAGGGGTCCCCATACTAGGGACCATGGTATTTTTGGGGCCTATTTATTGGGGTCAACCCTAAACTTTAAATCCTAAAGCCCTAAACCCTGATCCCCAAACCCTAAATCCTAATCCCTAAGCCATAAACCCTAAAACCCAAAACCCTAAAACCCTAAAACCCTACAGCCCTAAACACTCTTTATGAAAACTGCCACCTGCTGTTCTGGAATCGAGGCTTGGGGTTTCCAGGTACCCTGTGAGAATTGGGATGAATTGGGTATATATATATATATAGGGAATATATATATATATATATTTGTCTATATTTATAGGGTTTTGGCTTGGGGTTTAGGGTATAATTGGGTGTGTATATATATATAAGAAATTCATAGGGTTTAGGGTACACTTGGATATATATATATATAGGGAATATGTAGAGTTTAGGGTTTGGGGTTTAGGGTATCACTGGGTATATATATATATATATAGAGATGCATATATAGAATACATAGGGTTTAGGGTTCGGGGTTTAGGGTATAATTGGGTATATATAGGGACTATATAGGGAGAATGAAAAAGCAAATGGAAATTGACATGGCTTAGTAGAGTATATATATATATAAACTGTATAGGTAGGGCTGCAACATGAGGCGTTGACAGTGATTTCCTCGTAATAAGCATTTAAAAAAATACCGCTCGGCCTTTGCTGCAATCAACATTGCAATGTAAGCTGTGTGCAGAGCCACAGATAGAGCTTGTATTGCATGCGGGGCCCAAAGCGGAGCTCAATTTCGGCAACTTCCCATGTTCATATACAGCTGCAACAATGGCATACTCATGAGCAGAGATTTGGCATAGTTCGATACGACCATGAGATTATCCCTCAGCTTCTTGGACCGAGGCCCAAACTCGAATCCTCCTCCTCTGCAGCTTGCAGTTGACAGTTCCCTATTCTGATGCTTCAAGTCTGCTACGCGGAAAATGAAGTTGCTGAAAAGGATCCTCCCTACATCTAAACGCCGAACCTCTTTCCCCCTAGGAAATCAGGATTCGAAGAGGTCCTGATCTTCAGCGTCATGGGGTGCGTGCGGCACTTAGAGAAAAGTGGCCCTAGGTTTGGGTTCAGGGTCAGGAAAAATTCAAAGCTTCATGATGTAACGTCAGGGCCTATTCTAAGTCTTGAGGCGCCTCTAGTATGCAGCCAACTTATGGTCGATTTGTTGCGGCGCCTTCTACTGTATCTGGGCATTTCTCTGCAGGAATGCCCTTCCTAGACCCTCCTCCTACCCTCTATTTGGGCCTACATACCTACTATTAAGGACCATATATCCCCAATTAAGGGTACAAGGAGGGTCCTGGTTGATAGGTTCCAAAGATAGTCTGTCACCTTTTCTTCAGAGGTACCGGAATTGGCATATGAGCCATAGTCTAAACTCCTTAAAAGGGGTTATATAGGGGATTATATAGGGGACTACTATAGGGGTTATTAAGGGGGATACTAGGAGTTTAGACAATGGCTCATATGTTTCAATCTGCGGCTTTCTTGGCATGCCATACCCACCCTACGCCCAGCTTGCATGACAGCAGTAGGGTGGCGAGCACTTGCCCGAACCCAAAGCCCCAAGCCCCAAACTCCCAAATCCGAGCCCCGAAACCTGGAAAACCCAAACTTTACAAGAATTCAAGGGTGTAGGATGCAGGGGTATTAGAGACGGAGTAGGGGGTTCCTATGTTGGATTCTAGAAGGATTATTTTGGGCGCCAATTTAACCTCTAGGGCTAAGAGTTTAGGATGTTCCTCTCTATGGATCTCCATATCTTGAGTCTTCAGAACTCTACAGTTTCAGCCCCATCCTAAAGAGTTGAACCTAAAGCCCTGAGGAGAAAAGGTCCGAGGAGGCAACCACACAAAAACAACAAATTCCATAACTTTTAATGCCAAATCCCCAAACCCACAAACCCACCAACCCGCATCGTCTTCCTGGAGGTGGCAAGCACGGTTGAGACAAGTGAGCCTGGGGGCCCAGCTTTTGCAGCAACGATCCAGGGCTTCCCTAATTTGACAATCTTCCCCACCATTGTATAACGGTTTCATATTGTGGGGATTGATTGCTACGGGGTAGGGGGTCTATGAGTGGGGCAGGGGATTGCGAGACTCAGGGATTTGAGGATACGGTTTGAGGAAAGAGTTGACGCAGCCGTGTACAGACTAGCGTCTGACTAGAAGGATAAAGGAAAATTTCCGCAATGAAACCCGTAGAGCTCAGTTTCTTCATATGCTTCATGAGTAGGGGGTTTCTCTACATGGGGATAAGCAGTGGGCTGCATGAGTTACAGGTTAGATGTGATATGGATTTCAGAAGCTGTGGGTCTACTTGCCTTCATGAAACGGACCGAAAGGCGCAAAGAAGAGAGCATTGTAGGTTCATCTAAGATGTGCTGCTGAGCTTATCCTTGGTGTTAGCCCCGCTCCTCACGACAGGAGGGCTGCAGGTGTCGGTCTCCAGCTTGTTGGAGTGTCGGGTTTTGGATTAATGTGAGAAGGAGTTATGAGGCACCACAAAAAATGGTATAACATAGTGCTGATTGTGAAGGCGTAGGCCTGCAGATGCCGCCTTTCTTGCGGGGGCTCATGAGTCTTGAGTTCGCAAGTAGCAGGTCTCCATCATCTATGCCATTTTCGGACTTACTCGCAGGGATCAGCCAAAATCCTTCAGATTGTATACTACCACTGTACGAAACATGTCTTCCAACCCTATTGAATCTTGAGTTCTCGGCGAGCACTTCCAAAGCATCCCCATATTGCCTGTATCCTGCAGCTAAAGACCCTTTCAACCAAGAGGCCATCTTAAGACCCGCTACTTGAAGGGACTTCGTAATTACGTATAGAATATAACCCTACTTCCGGGATGGGTAACCTGCATAAGTCCATTTAGGCGTGAATCTAAGTAGGGTTATAAGCCCACTGGTAAACAGTTACTAAGTCCCATGAAACTTGAATTAGCGCCCCCCCCGAGTCCTACTATACCTAATCTCCAGGCGAGCCATATGCCCGAGACCCTAGCTTTCTCTGACCCCTAAAGCCTCCCTAAATGATCAATACTATGGGGCCCGACGAATTACCAGTATCATGGTTCTAGATTCCTCGTATGATAACGGTATAGGTTACCTCATGTAGACCTCAACATGATATTGGTAATGATCTAGGTCCCCGCATTCCACAATCCTTCCAAATCCCTTTATAAACTCAGCTTCCATTTCATGCCCCATTTTCTTATCCGATATTGAAACCTAAAACCCCCTAAACCCTAAACCTTAAACCCCTAAACCCTAAACCCTAAACCTTAAACCCTAAACCCTAAACCCTAAACCTTAAACCCTAAGCCCTACACCCTAAAACCCCCTACAGGACAGAGATCTCACCGAAAAATGCCAGAAGAGGAGGCCAGACAGCGCCAAACCCGGGCAGGCCATGGCGGTAGGGTTTAGGGCTTAGGATTTCGGGTTTCAGGGTTTTGGGGTACAGGGTTTAGGGTTTGGGGTTTAAGGTTTAGGGTTTAGGGTTTAGGGTTTAGGGTTCAGGGCTCACGGCTTTAGAGTGTAGGGTTTGGGGTGTTGCGCGGATTGGGGGAAGAGATGAAGTACCATCATAGGGCGCCATACGACTTGCCACTAAGCACCAGCAAGGAGAAAGGATGAAAAGGCTGCATTAGGGTTTAGGCTTTGGGTCTTTGGGTGTAGGGTTAAGGGCTACGGATTTGCGGCTTAGTGATTATCAGGTTTCGGGTTTACTCGATGAGGGCATATTCGTTAGGGTTTGGCGAGAGAGGATCGACGTTTACGCAGCCTTTGAGGCTTACTTCAGGGATTACGGCTGGGGTTGTAGTGGATGTTGGCCCCTGCGAAGGTGGGGTATGGGATGCTGATGCAAATTATGGTGCCCTGCTTCTAGTTCATGGTGTATAACAGGTACGATAGAGCATTTGATAGGGCTGTTGCAGGCAATTTCAAAACATCTGTAAGGATACCATAAACCTTAACCCCAACTTTCTAGGCAAACATTTAACAAGGGGAGTATTTCATGTGTTCTCAAATTACAACTCTACGTGTGGACCATGGATGGTCGGGGATATTTCAGAATTGTCATCTTCCTTTGTCCTCGGGCATGTGAAAGAGAGTCTGTATCGACCGTACATGGGCTCCTTTCTTGGCACAGCCATTCATTCGAGGGCTCAGAGGAGGGTCAAATTTGGGATATGTAGAATGTTACTGGATGGGGGTACTGTAGTGCCCAATGTCCATTCGAAGAGGTTCATGTGAACTAGGTGTGTCCAAGGTTCTTTTTGCTGCCTCACAGAGTCGCAATGCTGCATACATATGAGGTTATATGTGGGTTTTATTACATATATAAAAGCCCAATGCTGGAGAGTCAGATGGCAAAAATGGAGATGAAGTGGAAACCGTGCTTTCACAAGGGTTTACAGTGGATAATTACAAATATTGTGGTCTTAGGATCTTGAATGATTCGTGATTACTGCATGGTATAACATAGGGAGGGAATTTAAGCGGGAAAAGCCTAGACTTGGCTAGGGCCTAGGCCTTGAAACCTTAAACTAAACTGAAAATTCTAATGAGCAGTGTTATTTGATGTTATTTGTAATTGCTCTGTTGTTATGACTACTGCTATGCATGTTGTTACTTTCATAGCTATTTGTATTATTGTTTTCTATGTTTAAGGAAGGGCGCCTTCCAGTCACCCCTGTTCCCGTTTCATGAGCTCTGGGGCTTGCGCAGGACGTTGCTGACAAGTTCTGCGAACTCTCCGAAAGACGCTGAGGTAGGGCAGAGAACGGCATTGTGCCACAAGTTGTGGTCCATATTCCTAGATGTTTTAGAATACGGGTCCGTATACTAGTGTTTCGGGCAAACTCCAATACGGTATGGTTAGGTGGTTTTTTGTTTTTCAAAGATTTTCAAGGCACGGCTACACACCAGAATGAACTTTTGCTTTACAGCTGCTTTCTGTCCAAAATCCACCTTCCATTTTCTTACGTCCCTACAATGCCCCTCATATTCTCCAGCCTTACGAGGTCCCGGCAGTACCTCTCATGTGTGCCAGCCTTGTCAATGTACACTCTGAGAGAGTGGGATAGGACGGCATAATGTCATGGCCGGTGGTTTCGAAGTCGTGCATGGGGCTTTGCGAAAAATAGGGTTCCCAAGGTATACCTGGACACTCCCATGCCCCACACTTAAGACCTCAACCCCAAATCCCAAACGTCCTAAACTCCAAATCGGGATTTCCCTAAATTGGGGGGTTTGTTTGGGGTCTCCATCCTCAAAAACCCAAACTCCAAAACTGTCTTTCCGGGTCGCCCTGCAGGCGGAATTGACAGCTTCGCCAGCTGGGCTGAGGTGCCATCATATTTGTGAAATTGCTAGGGACGTTTCTAAGGGGTTGTAGGGACATCATGACATCATGGGATAAAGAAGAGAATTACAGGGACATTCTAGTGTCTAAGGTAGGTTGTGGTTTTCTCAATTAAACAAGGGGTGCCTACGGATATGTCGGGGTTGCGGGATATTTCGGCTCTCTAGAGGGTTTCCCTCAAAATGTTGGGTGTTCTGGATGTTCCAAGTGAGTCTGGTTGGGCTCACATGAGAGGACCGCGCTCTTAAAGTTTAGAGCTTTTTAAACCTGATCCCTAAACCCTAGTCCCTTAAACCCAAACCCTATACCCCATACAACCCATTATAGTAGTTTCCATGTTCTTTTCCATTATCCCCATATAAACCCAATATCATGTGGCTCCTGGGCCCCATGGCGACGCACAATGGGCTGAGGATCAAGGTTCTGTAGCGCTTATTCAAGGAAGCCTATGGATGGAGGTCCGTGGAGTACTATAGGGCCTGTAAGGGGTTTAGGGTTTAGGGTTTAGGGGTAGGGCTTGCAAGGGGATTAATTATAGACGGATGCCATGGAGTAGGTTGTTCATCATTGTCGTGGTGGGGGCAACTGACTGTTTCCGGAAAAAGGTGATTCACAGCCCCTACCCTAAACCCTAAACCCTAAACCCTAAACCCTAAACCCCAAACCCTACTCAAGCTGAGCCTGAATAGATACATTGTCAAGAGCTCCTTGAGCCTTGGCAGTCGTCTGGTACTACCAAAGGTCATCCTACCTCCTGTATCGCTGTTTTCTTCTAGCCTCCTAGGGCCTCAGCCCTGAACCCCTACGCCCTAGACTTGCAGCCGGATATTGACCCTTGCAGCCACACGATTTAGGGTCTAAGGTTGAAGGATATCATCCGCCAAATATCCCAGGAATCCCCTCGGATTCCCTAGTCTTGCAGAGCCTCTGCCACAGCCTAAGCTTCAATCTTTTACTCCATAGTGTGCAAGTTTGAACCACTAACTATGAGGTTCTTCCATGTAGTTTTAGTATATTCTGCTTAAAAGGGAATGTTGCTTAAACCAACCCCCAAAACGAGGACCCTATGACCATGATCATCACCTGACTCTTCTAGATGCTTGTTTGAAGGTTTAGGGTTTCAGGGTCTAGGGTTGCAGGGTTTAGAGTTTAGGATTTACGCCTTTAGGGTCCAGGTTGTTTAATACTCCAAAGCCTGCCATGAATCTGCTTATTTAGGGCCCCCTTGTCTTCCCAGGAACTCCAGACCAGGCAGCTTTATGCCGAACGAGGCCACCCACCCACTCCCTTGCATTTGTAAGGTTTCCAGTCTAAACTGCAGTATCACCTTAATAAGCCCCATAGTAGGAAGCCTATAGAATCCCCTATATAATCCCCTTGAAGGAGGGAGTGAGTCTAGGGTTTACAGGTTGAGCGCTTAGGATATTATACAGCTTCAGGTTGTGGGTTTCTAGGAATTAAAGACAGAGGATTGATGGGGATTCTGGGGTCCCCATTATATTGGGTTTAAATGGGGATAATGGAAAACTACTACAAGTGGTTGTATAGGGTTGAGGGTTTGGGTTTAAGGGCCTTTTCGAGCGACATGTTACCTCGGGGACATTAGTTGTGAGGTCAAAGTTTTTCAAAATTGTCACGATACCCTAATCTTTTAAACCCCAAATACTAAATTTCGGGACCCCAATATCCCCAACAACTCCCGTTCTATCCCTAGAGACTAAGCCGTAAACCCTCAATAGTAGCTTCCATTTTCCTTTCCATTAGCCCCGTAGCTTACGCCTATGACATATTTCGGGATTATCAGAACATGTACAGAGCCTGATAGGTCCTAACAGTGTTCAAAATCTGGGGAGGAGGTTCTGTTGGGGGATAGTATTTTGCTCCATTGCGTATAGGGGACATTGAGAGAATTATGCAATGGGCATCGTGTACTCCTTCTTTGCTTCGAATAATTTCGAATAATTCACAACTTGATATAATCTGTCCTCAAGAAATTTCAGTGCTTCAGGGTGGAAGCTTTTGCAGTTCAGCAATGCTGAAGTCTGACACGTAAGGTGCCCATAGTAAAGAGTTTAGTATTCCGTGGTCTATATTGCGGTTCCCTATGTAGCTTTGGATTTTCAATCGGGTTTTCGTGAGGCGTTCGGAAGACCTTTAAAGTGGTTGCTGAAGGGTCAAAAGGTTCATGCTCTACGACTTTTTTAGATTCCTGGCCCCCGAGGCTCAGGAACCTCAACCCCTAAGCATGACCTGCTTCGATCTTGGATTTTGGACCCGCTACCTCGAACCACAGCCATACTTTGAAGGACCTTGGAGTTCCACAACATATGAGCTATAGTCTAAACTCCTTAAAGGGGGCTATATAGGGGATTATATAGGGAACTACTATAGGGGTTATTAAGGGGGATACTAGGAGTTTAGACAAAAGCTCATATCATATCCCTCTCACATTGTCACCCTGTTGTAATCCATTCTAAGTAGGTTACCTGACCCAGTAGCATCTCCGACCTTTCATAGACTAAACCCTAAACCCCAAATCAACAGATGTCCTTCTACAAGCTCCTTTAAAGTGACCTACCAACGTAACCCAGTAGTAACTCCAGAGTTCCTTGAAGTAAGCCACGTGATGCGAGGATGCTACCTCACCTGTCTCGCCTGGCAGCTGGGCCTGTTCTCAAGTAGATTCCCAGGGGCATTCAGGGTTTAGGGTTCCTAGGCATCTTAAGATAGGACGGGCCCTCTTAAAGAAATATCTAGGTCCCCTCATCAGGGGTAAGATTTAGGTATTGTGGTCTAGGTTTGGGTCGTGTGGGCTACATGGACCTGATTTTCAACTGGCCTTAGTTTGCATAGGGTCGATGTTGGGGTGCAGATTCTCCTTGGGGAGCCCAGCGGTAAATTAAAGAACGCCGGAGCCAAACAGAAGTGCGGATTCCTTTTGAAGCCCCTAATTTACCTTATAACCCCTATATAGCTACAGTAGTTTCCATTTTTCCAGTATCCCAATATGATTATATAACCCATCCTAATTTCGAGGTCTGGGCGGCATGAAGCATCAACAGTCACTTCCGAAGCCCTTCATTCTCAGGCCCCACGAATTCCTTTGGGAAGGGTTTTTTCCAAACAGTGATGGTTGCGCATGCGGGCTTTGAAGCTCTAGTCCCTAGACTATGAGGGAAAGGGCCCGCTACCTTCAATTCCGTTGCACATGCTGACAAGCCTCTCCATAATATCCTTCCCTTCATTCTAAATGTTTCCCCTGAACCACCACCCAAGGCCGAACCGTGCCCGCGCTGCAAACAGTAGTTGGTATCAGCGGGCGCTTACATTTCTCACGGTCCCGTAGCAGCAGAGTGAGAACAAAGGGTATGAATAGCAGTAGCAGCAGCTAAAAGTTCTTGAGAGCCCAAGTAGTCCCATCTAGACCACCCCCGAATGCCCCACATGTGAGTTAGAGTAGGTATAAAGTCATTGTCGCAGTCCATCTAACAAGTCCGTTCATCCTCCATGGCGTGCAGCTTCAGGTAAGTCAATCTTGAGAAGCAAGAGTTTGCAAGGCCTCAGCAGCAAGGCGCGGCCAGCAACCAAATAGTTTGTTGGGCTTCCCCAGACCCCCAAAGGGATCTAAGAATTAGATCCCCTAGAAGACTATGGGGAATTATATAGGATTATATAGGGGTTATTATGGCTTTATATAAGGGAATCTAATTTTTAGATCCTCCCAGGGGTCTGGGTCTGTTAAGAGACTTAAAAATCAAGTTACCGTAACACGGATATATGGAGTGAATAATCTGGTTTCCTTATCATTGCAACTTAGTTTATTGAATTTCCTCAGCAGCAGCCCAGTTGTTTAGGGTTCTGAAGAACTCCTGGAGGAGCTAGTCTGCACAAGAACTATCGTAATTGTAGATGGCGAGTGCCGAAGTCCAAGGGTTTCTATGTAAACTGTAAACCCTAAGCCCGAACCCGAAACCCGAAGCTCTACCCCCTAAATCCCCAAACCCTGTTTCTGGATTTTTGGATGCGTACGTAGCTCGAGAGGAAACCGGCCGACGAGCTACCTTTGATGCGGCGTCTTTGCAGGAAGAGGACAGCAAGCTCATTTGGGGAGTTTAGGGTTTAGGGGTTTAGGGTTTAGGATCCCCCAAATCCTTCAAAGTCCAGGGCACCCTTATTCTTGCACTTCTCACTGGTGTTACTCATGTAGGCTGGATTTGCAACATGCCTTAGCAGCTTGCATATTCTTACAGTCATCAGAACACATGTATTCTTCAAACAATGCCAGGAGTACTCAGGGGGTGCCATGTTCTGAATTTTCGGAGCTGTGATGAGGTTTGACCACTTCCTCCACCTTTCTAACAGTCCCCAAATATTCCAGCTGTAGGACTATTGCGCCCTTAATGCAGGAAGTTAGCAGACCATTGAGAGGTGAGGGCAGCATGCGTTTGTTGCGTGCCTTCTGGGGTCATGTAACAGTCAATCCTACACTAAGCAACCTTGCCTCCATTGCCTGAATCTAATGGAGACAATGGGCTGTTTCTATTCCGCTAGTAATGCATATGAAGGTTTCCAGCGGGGTCCCTGTGTGGTGTTGACACAACCCCAATTCGTGGAAACACTCATTGCGCGGTCCTGTTTAACCTGGGTTCCCCTACAGTCTAAAGCCTTAACTCTTCACATATCTCCGTGCCTTGCCCGAGGAGATTGCTTACGCCAGAAGCACTCTGCTCAGAGGGCGATGATTGACACCAGCAAGCGTGCGCAAATACATAAAAGTATACGGATACTAGTATCCAAGAGCGCCTGCATGGGCTGCAAGTTGGGCATGCGGTATAGAAAAAGCACAGATCTCTGTGTGTGTATATATATATATCTCTCTCTCTCTCTCTCTCTCTCTCTGTGTATCTCCATTTTTTTGGGGCTAGCCTACGCATATATGTGTATGTATATTTATATGTAGTAAAGAACGCAGGGTTCCAATATTCAACGCTGGTGTGTTGATACACTATCTTTCCTGGGCGCTTCGAAAGCAAGTTTGTTTCGTCCAGCATGGGCCGGATTTGTTGTGAGGGATCAAAGCAGATTTGGGGATGCATGCGCGATGTAGCCATAGCGGTTGTTCCTAAACTCTAAACCCTAGAATATCGTGGGTGGAGGGGTCGAGGGGGCAAACTTGAAGGCACACGCCACAGGCTCGTACCTAAACCTTGGACTTGGGGATCTCCGAAATGCAGGAATCTGGAAACAAGTATACGCAGAAATTTGCAAGGCCGCTACCCCTTGCTCCTGGTGATGTTGCTTATCCCGCACCACTCACGTTTAAGGCTTTACATCCATCATCTCCTGAAGGTTCCGAATAAACTCTGACGGGAAGTCTTCATGAACACCCCACACCCTAAGGCTTCATGTAGGGACCATGTTTACATCTTGGGGCCTAATTTAGGTCATATTTATAGACCCATAGCCCAAACGAGACTCTAGACCCCAAACCCTGAACTCTCCACCCTGCTTTGCCTACATCCTTGCCTCGACCTTCAACTTGCCTTACGCTCGCGCAAATTTCCACTGGAATCGTACGGCTGCCTTTTTCCTCTTTACGGTTTAGGGTTCAGACCCTGAACCTTGCAGGGCCTTTCATGGAGTTTCGATGTTAGTGTCGCGGAGAACGTCATGGATTGCTCTAACTTGGAGTTTCTCCAAACAGAACATTGTCGAAGGCTGGCCAATACTCGTATACTTGCTGGTTGTCAAGGACTGCATGTTTTGCAGTAGCCCCTGCAACAACCACAATTAGATTGTGGTTTCCCTGCCTTCATTCCCTCATTCTGACTTGCAACCAGAAAGGAGATCTTAGACCCTAAGCCAAACCCTGAACCTTAGATACCTGCATACTAAAACCCCGACCCTGGAATCCTAAAGCTTTCAAGCGCAATTAGTCAAACGCCCCAAACCCTAAATTTGAACCTGCGAAATCAAGCTCTTTGAGGTGTAAAGCGGCGGGTAACATTCGGGCAAGCCGAAGCCCGTGAGTATAAGGTGCAGGCACCCCAAATGCTACTTACTGGTTCTTAGTACGAAGAAGGCAGTATATTCTATAGTATTCTATAGGGGCGATATATGGATTATATTCTCACATACCCTACTTAGAACCGGCCAGGCTAGGGTTCGTTTGAGTTTGTTGAGGGGTTTTAGGGGTCATGTGGGGGGTATAAATGGTTTAGGGTTCATGTCTAAGGTCTAGGGTTCAAGGTTCAGGGTTTGAGACTTAGGGATTGTCCCAATAGGGGATGGACAAGACAAGGGACAATGAAGCGGATAGGGGGATTATAGTGGCTTAGTATGTTTTGGTGTGGGCGGGCATCTCATGAAACACTACCCTTCTCTACAAGAGTAAGTGTAAGCGGCTATGAACTATGGCCTGATTGTACCTTTGTCGGACGCTAAACCCTAAACCCTTTACGTTTGGGTTTTGGGGCTTTAGAGATGGGAGTGTTTCACAAGCAGCTGCAAGGTTCACCAAATTGTGGGCCTCATGTTGGGCTACTTCTAATCCCCTCCCCTAATATGAACCCTCCACCCCCTAGTATTAAATACTCCCCGTTGTGGCATGTTATAAGATATTGGAAATATTTAACATAGGTGGCTGGGGGTGTAACTTCTTGTTTTGGAGGTTTATCCGCGTACCTTAATCCTCAAATACTGATCTTTAATCCTAAGGTCTAAGCTGTAACCCAAAGTTACCTAATTACGCCATATGTAGGAATGATGTAGAAAGCACCAGCGAACGACTTGGAGGCTCGCAGGGAACTCGTTTTGAGGAGGAGGATTATAGTCATCTGGGAGTCTTTCTGACTTGATCCTTGTGACCCCTACGCACTCCTTATCATTCCATAAGGTAGTTTCCCTAAATAAAGGAGCCCCAATATAGAACCCAAAATATTATAGTCCTTAATACTGGGACACCCAGAGTGGTACCCCGAATTTGAATCCTCAGAGTTCTCACGGGAACTCTTTTGAGAAATCTCCATTCAAATTCAAGGTTTGGCTTTGAGGTGTTGTTATCTTGATTCGTCACAGGCGAATGCTGTTGTGATGACACTTGTTGTCGTGAGCAGTTGGGGCCAGAGAGATATGAGCGCAGAGGACCTTCCTGGTCAAGACCTCATCTCTGAAAGCGCCAGGCTCCTACATGTCCAAAAAATGAAGCCCTGAAGCAAGTCCTACAGCCCTGAACCCCAACACTCCGGACCCCTCCTCTGCGCCCGGAAGCTGGGAAACTCTCTAAGCCCTGCGCCTTTCCCCTGAATCCTTGGACTGTTGGCAGATGACGCAGTCGCGGAGTTTCTGATGGCTTGCCTCACCCCGCAGCAGCCAGCTGCAACTCACTGAGTCTCTGCTAGATCGTGCAGTACTAGGTGGTAGGATTTCGGACAAATCAGCATAGCCACAGCAAGCATAGACTAACAAGGTAGATAACACGGCCAACGAGAATTGTAGTGATGATTGCACTGAAGAGGATTATAGCAATGGTGAGTCCTTACAGAAGGACAGTCGCTGTGAGCGTTGTAAACGCGAGCACCGCACCAGTCGGGTTCGAAAACTGAGCTTTGCAAGATCCTCGCAACTTCGGGGTATCTCACAGAAACAGGTTTTTCAGGGCTTTCCATCCAGGATTTTACGGCAAGTGCTTTGCCACTTGCGTATACATGGGACCACACTTAGTAGACACCACTGTTGCCAGCTGGGCAGGTCTGTTCCCACCGCAGGACGCAAGGCTCACAAACTTGAAAACTCATCTGGGTTGAACCATGAGAATTTCAACCTTTTCCCCAAGGCACAGCAGGAAACTCAGAGGATTCAATGCGCAAATCCGAAACCACTAAATCTCCAAAGTGCTAAACTGCAAGTCCAACCCAGTCGCACACTCTAGGCAGTGGTGCAGGCCACTGCAGGTCTCCAGTTTGAGCTGGGTTTCAGCCTTGCGGCTGTCGCGTTGCGAAGCAATCTGACATGCTGCTGCCACTTGCCTAGGAACCACGGCTGGCCCAATCTGTAGCAGTAATAGTTGCAGCAGTAGTAGTAGTAGTAGTAGTCGTAGTAGTAGCAGCAGCAGCAGCAGTAGTAGTCGGAGCAGTAGCAGTAGCAGTAGCAGCAGTAGGAGTACTAGTAGTACTGGTAGTATTAATATTGCTAGTAGCATGATAATTACCAGTCATTTTTCGCACTACTAGTCCTAGTAGTCGTCGTAGTAGTAGTGGTGGTAGTGGTAGTGGAAGTGGTACCACCAGTGGTAGCGGTAGCGGTCATGGTCATGGTATTGGTGGTTGTAGTAGCCGCTGCAGAGTGGTACTGGCGGAGGTGGTGGCAGTTCTTCTTGTTGTTGCTGTTGCTGTTGCTGTTGCTGTTGCTGTTGTTGTTGGTGTTGTTGGTGTTGTTGTTGTTGTTGTTGCCGCTGCTATGGCTGCTGCTGTTGTTGCTGTGGTTGCTGCAGCTGCTGATGTTGTTGTTACTGTTGTTTTCATTTTGTGAATGAGCTGTTTTAGAGATCGCCAGATGGTAGTGGATGGAGCGCCGAGAAGCGCTCGAACGGTATTTCTGTATGATTTTCCAATGCTAATAACAATCACTTGAGCATTGCGAGCCTTCTAGGCTTTGTGGTAATGTTAAGGCAATCAGCACGTACGAATCCAATGTGCGGGCCAGCAATGGCAATTCGGAAGTCATAGCGCGCTGTGAGAAGAACTGGTTTGTTGAGCTTGTGCCGGGCTCTTGTGTCTTACCCGTGTTGTTGCGACAACGTCTCAATGGTGATGCCATAAAGGTGAATATTGCACGACATGGTCTTAGGTAACATGGTAACATCACATTAGTAAAATGCATACCGGCTTGGTAAAAGTCGCAATGAGAGTGCTACGTATTCGCAATATACTACCAAGGTACTAAGCATTTGACAGACAGCTGGCCTCATATTTGTACTTGTAAAATTGAATACCACCACGACGCGGGGAAAATGCTTGTAGCAAGAAGCAGCATAAACCAACCTCACTGACAACACGTCGCAGAGCCTGGCGCAGGTCGGGAGAATTGCCAAGTGGTAGAAAAAAGCGTGGTTCATAAGCCTGACATGTATGGAGTATGGAGGCCACATCAATGGAGAATTCGGAGATTACATATGAGCCATAGTCTAAACTCCTTAAAGCACGTTGTATAGGGGATTATCTAGGGGAGTGTTACAGGGGTTTTCTTGGGGATGCTAGGAGTTTAGTGTATAGCTCATATAATTTGGGAGTCAGGTGTTCAGGCGGTTTACGTATGAGCTTTCCCCAAGCTGGAAGGTCTCGAGTAGGTAGATTTGCTGGGCTCATTACTTCCTTGACATCTTGTTTGGGGTCCTAGTAATGGCAAGGGATTATATAGGTTTGTATTGGGGTTATATGTAGGGATTATAGGATACATATATATATATATTGTGGTTATATAGGGAAAATGGAAAAGATAACAGAAACTACTACAATGGGGTTATACAGGGTTTAGGGTTTAGGGCTTGGGAAGCTACCGTAGATCGCTGTGTAATTGTTTTGTCCAAGGTTCAGGGAAAGTTTTACAATCTGCTCTTGCTCTCTTCTAAGCTGGACTCTACATGCAAAAAGTTCTCCGGACTCGTGGCCTGGAAATTTATATGAGGTACAAGGCCACGGGGCCCTTGTAATGGTTCATCAAGACGTGCAAAGGGGCCAGCTTGAGATTTGCACGCTTTGCCAGCCCAGCCACCCTGCAGGGCACTCGAAGGCCCATAGTCTTTTCTGAACTGACACCCCAAGCCCCGAATTCTGGACCCCAAGTTTTTGGGAGGTTCCGGATGATCGCTTGGACAAGCTTGCCTCATTAGCCAGCTCCGAGAAAGTCATCAACGAGGTGTGCCGCGTAGGTTTTGCCTTTTTGAGGGGCATGGCCTAAAGCTTAAAGCTCTCAGACATAGAGGTGTGCGTAAAATGTAGCTTCCATTTTATTCCAGTATTATTGGGGTTATATCGGGATAATGGAAAAGAAAATGGAAACTACTGTAGTACATTTAGGGTTTTACTGGGATGTGTAAGGTCCATAGCTTGACAGCTGTTTGGCCAACTTGAACGGCTCTTAATGCTAGCACTGGAATTTGCTAGCGACAGCTTCTTCCAGTAGAGCCCGCGGTGTTAATGTTTTGCGCACACCTGAAGCCCAACGTACCTAAGAAATGTACTTGTTTGCTTTTCTGCCGGTTTTGACCCATAGTTTTCTAATTTTGGAGGTCCAGGTAATATCTCCTGTCCTGGGATTCAGCGGCCGATGTTTCCGAGGCAAGTAATTTTCCTGAGAAACGGCAAGTAGGGGTTTGAAAGGGATTGCATAGTGTTTTAAGGGGTTCATCGCAGACTGTGTCAGAGACTCTTTGACCCCTGCACTCCCCGCATGTCAGAACGGGATTCCGGAGGGTTGTATTAGGGCTATATTAGGGTTATATTTGGGTTATATGAGGGTCCCGCATCAAAAGCGTAGAGGTTGTTTGCAGAGGTTGTTTGCATGAGGCTTTCCCATGTGACCTTGCAACATGTGCAGATGCTTAATTGTGACCTAGGACCTTAGATGCAGGACACCCATCAGTTTGGAGCAGCCTACAGCAAGGTTGATTTAGATATTCTTTGGGAGGACCCCCCACCCTGTAATAGAATAGAAAAATAAGAGGACCCTAATATGGTCCTTAGTATCCCTTACATTATAGTCACTATTACAAAGTGGGGGGTCCACCTAAGATATGCTTGTGTGGTGTCCCGAGCCTACGGACACCAACATGATAAATGATAAAACTTTGTCGAACAAATTTGGGACATATTCCAGAGCCTTCTCATACCCGAAATCCGTATCCCCAATCTCAAGACCCTAGATCCTAAATCTTTAGCCCAAAACCCTGGACCAAAGACCAAAGACCCCAAAGCCTCAACCCTCAACCTGAGAACCCCACCCTAAACACGCTAAATCCCTCGCCCTAAACCCTGCAGATGATTGAGTACGTTGACATTGCCGGACTGGTGAGGCAGGACCTTGCAGTATCTTGCAAGATCCGTGTGGGTGGTTGTCAAATTTATCGTCCGTTTTTGGATTCCTATGGGTTTAGGGTTTAGGGTTTAGGGTACCCAACAGGGGGACCATAGTTTTGACAATCACCCATGTATTATTCAATTGTCAGGATTCAGATGCAGGGGACCCCTACTATATGGTATATTGGGGTTATATAGGGATAATGGAGAAGAACATGGAATCTACTATAGTATAATAGGCGAATAGGGTATATATGGCAGTTTTCCCAAACAGGGGGACCCCAACATAGACCCCAGATACTATAGTCCTGAATATTGGGCCCCCCAAAATGCTATCCCTAATTTTGGGAATCACCAGGTGATACAATCGCGATGGTGTTTAGTGTCTAGGTCCCTTTTACCTAAGTACTTGGGGCTCCAAAATCCGATCGTTTCTTGTTTTGAGTCAGTGGGGTGTGCTCTGTGTCCGCGCTTGCAAAAGCAACCGCACTGGACATGAGGGCTTGGGCAAAAAAGGGTCACTCAATGAACTTACAGGTGCTTAAGGAGAAAGGTGCCATAATGGGAATATACGAGGACCCTAATAGAATACCATCATCCCTTGTAGTCACTATTGCTGGGTGAGGGCCTTGCCCTAGGGTCCATCATGGCGGATTTCTCCTAAACCCTAAACACCTATACCCTACACCCTAAAGCACTTGTAGATGACAGGCCAGCCGGGACCCTCGGTGCGACGTTCTTTTGATCTTGTTGACTAGGGGTGATGTGGTTGATGCTAAAGCTCTAGAAGGGAATATTATATAGGGATACAGAGGGCTTAGGGTTCAGGGTTCGCTAAGTGCCTGAGGCATTGTGGGAAGTTTGGTATCTAGCATGCAAAGACCGTGAAGGGCTGCTAATGTGAGCAGTAGAGGCCTTCCCTTGTTGGCGCCGCTCCTTGTCCCTAAACCCTTAACCACGAAATCCTAAACCCTAAATCCTAAACCTAGCCTACTCCAACTCATTGCGCAGGGGGGCTTCGAAAGGAGAGGGCCTGGGGAACCAGTTCCTGGGCAATATCCGCAACGTAGGCCAGGGCCTCAAAAACACGTGTGGGTGTTTACACCCTTGTTTGTTTTGGATTGACGCTGCTCCAGTTTGGGTATGGCAAGGTGACTTTCTTTTATGACCAGCATGGCTGTAATCCAAGTTCGGTAGTTTCCCTGAATGGGGGGAACTGAGTATACACCCGCAAAACATTATAATCCTTATCATAAGGACCCCAAAACGCTGT